TGTATGTGTGTGTGTGTGAGTGTGTCTGAGGTTTTGTGTGTGTGAGTGTGCGGTTGTGTGTGTGTTGTGTTGTTTGTGCCTCTTCATTCATTAGAGACGGTTCTGTTCTGGGTTTGTGTTGCAGGTGGGCTTTAGTCTGGCCCGGACTCGAGTGAACGGCATCCTGTCCTACACTGTGAGTATCTGTGACGGCTCTCTCTCTCGGTGCTCTGTTCATTCCTGACGCTTGTGTTTGTGGTTCCTCAGGCCCAGGAGGTGGATGAGTGCAAGCTGCTGAATGAAAAGAGTGAAAATGAGCTCATCCTCTTCATCATCGACACCGAGGAGCTCAGGTGAGTCCGGTCCAGTGACGAGGAGTGTTTTTTAAAGTATCTTATAGTAGGGCTGCACGATTAATCGAATTTAAATCGCAAAGGCGATAAATCGCGATTAGGCAGAAGTTGTGATTGTCATGCGTATCTTTCAGTGAAGCAGGGTTCTGTGATCAGTAGTAAATCTCCATCTGAAGGCCAGAGAAACTCCAAATACGCCTCGCAGAAGAAACCCAGGCAATCCCTATAGCGCTAGCTGAATAAACAGAAGATTGAACTGCTTTGATTAATAGTTAATTCAACGTGACTAATAAACACACGACTACGACAATACACGGTTTATCTGAGTTCGTCTTATTGTAATTTTAATTACAATAAAGTAATAATGCAATGCCTTTATCACTGCATAGAATACTATGAAATATGTTGAGTGCCTTATTCTGTGTAAGAAGCCTCATCATCTCACAGAAGGATTTATTTCAAACACTCGACTGACGTTATGAAGTGAGTTTGGAGTAAAAACATGTTATTAAATGTGGTATTTTCACCTGCTTTCAGATGGAGCAGCATTTACTTCACAGAGCCGTAGTTCACTGAGAAGCTACACAAACAGCTGTCATTATCGCGAAGGATTTCTTCGATGTCATAGTCGCGTGATTAAATCATCTGCGATTATGAACGCGATTTTGCGTAGCTTGTCAGTGAATTACGGCTCTGTGTAGTAAATGCTGCTTCATCTGAAAGCACGTGCTGGAGATTTACTACTAATCACAGAACCGGCTTTACTGACGAGATGCGCATGACAATAGCATTCAATTAATCCTGCAGCCCTAGGTATGTATATATAGTTATAGTATATTCTAGCTTATAGTAGAATAAAGCATGACACTTCATCTGACATACATTGTGACTGTTTGTTACTGTGACTGTGATCATGACTGAATGTGATTGTGGCTGATTGTGACAGATTTTTACTGTGATTTTAAATGGGATTGTGAATGTGATTGATTGTGATATTGATTGTGATTTTTTACTGATTGTGAATGTGATTGATTGTGAATGTGATTTTTACTGATTGTGACTGTGAATGTGACTCATTGTGAACATGAATGTGATTGGTTGTGATTGTTACTAATTGTGAATGACTGACTGATTGTGATCGTGACTGTTGAATTTGAATGTGATTGTGACAGATTATTATTGTGAATGTGACACTGTGACTGCGAATGTCACTGATTGTGATTGTGTGTGCAGCGTCCAAGTGAAGCACTTTGGCCATTCTGACATCACGCTGGTGTCCAAACTGAAGCCGAAGACTACGGATGGAGGGAAAGGTAAAACTAATGCATGTGAGCCTGAAGTGTGTGTGAGTGTGTGTTTGATGGTGTCTGTGTTTCTCAGCGAGGACGAAAAGAGAAAATGCAGAGGGAGAGAAGCAAAAAGAGCCGAGTGTTGAAGAGACAGAACGGAAAGAAAATTCACAAGAGAAGGCTAAAGTGACAACTGCTGTCAGCAGCACCATTTCCCAGAAGGTACGTACCTGTGTGTCCTTACATTTGACATTTGTTTTTGAAAACCCTTCAAAAACCTTGTTTAAAACAGCTGTTCCCATCAGGTGGAGAGTTTGGACGGGATGTCGCTGGAGCTGCAACAACACGACAACTCCTTCAACTTCAGCGTGAGAAAGCCGTCACTCACACACACACACACACAGCGTTTCAAATACACAAACCGCTCACCGTTTGCGTTCTCTCCCGCTCTCAGTTCCGTCTCACGATGAGCGCAAGCTCGCAGGGACTCTACAATCTGGACTTCCACAACTGCCTCCCCGCGGGATCCAGGACGTTGCGCCCGTATTCTCTCCATGTAAGTACAGCGGTCCGGATCCGGCCGTCGCAGAGCCGCATATCACATGATCAGGATCAAACTGAGTGTGTGTGTGTGTAAGGTGGAGATCACAGAGAAGAATCCCAGCGGTTATCTGTCGGCGGCTGAGATTCCTCTGCCACGCCTCTACATCTCAATGGCTACCATCTTCTTCGCCGCTGCCGTAGTGTGGACATACACACTGCTCAAATACAGGTACACACACTCACTCACTCACTCACTCTCAAACACACTCACTCACTCTCACACACTCACTCACACACTCACACTCACTCACT